AGGACTCACCTGAGGCGCTTGCATATTGCGTAGACCCGCGTCTCGCCGGACGAGACGAGCAGGACTCACCTGAGGCGCTTGCATATTGCGTAGACCCGCGTCTCGCCGTACGAGACGAGCAGGACTCACCTGAGGCGCTTGCGTATCGCGTAGACCCGCGTCTCGCCGTACGAGACGAGCAGGACTCACCTGAGGCGCTTGCGAATCGCGTAGACCCGCGTCTCGCCGTACGAGACGAACTCTCTCAGCTTGACGACGACGGCTGCATCGACGCGGTGTGTGGAGAACCCAGAGACGGGCTCCCGACTGCCCCCGCCGGGCCTCGCCGCCTCGCTCGCGAGCTCCTTGTGAAACTCGTGCGTCTTGTCCGTCGGCAGCTGCGCGTACCACCTGTTCAGGCGAGATAACGAGGCTAACGTAACCACCTCAGGCAACAGGTGAGACAGAGGGTAGGTGTGGGCGGCAGCACATACCATCTGTATATACCACACAGGTGAGTTAACGAGGTATACCGCACAGGTGAGATAACGAGGTATACCACACAGGTGAGATAACGAGGTATGCCGCACAGGTGAGATAACGAGGTATACCACACAGGTGAGATAACAAGGTATACCACACAGGTGAGATAACGAGGTATACCACACAGGTGAGATAACGAGGTATGCCGCACAGGTGAGATAACGAGGTATACCACACAGGTGAGATAACGAGGTATGCCGCACAGGTGAGATAACGAGGTATACCACACAGGTGAGATAACGAGGTATACCACACAGGTGAGATAACGAGGTATAACACACAGATGAGTTCGAGGCGTACCACCTGTATGCCGCACAGGTGAGATAACGAGGCTAGGTGTGGCAGCTGCACATAGTAATTAGCGCACGTTAGAGCGTACCTCTCCTCTCCCGGCACGTGCGGTAGCTCGGGGCCTAGCTGTTTCATCTCCTGAAAGATGCGATCCATCTCCGCTCGCATGTTGCGCTTGCTCAGCTCCATGTTCACCTTGAACTGCGGGTACTTGCGCACCTTCTTCACGTAGATCCTATGAACATGTCATCGTTATTAATATTATTATCATCATCATCATCATCATCATCATCATCATCATCGTTATATATTATATTAAGGATCATTACAAGAACAACACAGAAATACTTACACAGCTTCTTCTCATACATTCTACCAATACATCGTTATTATCATCATCATCATCATCATCATCATCATCATCATCGTTATATATTATATTAAGGATCATTACAAGAACAACACAGAAATACTTACACAGCTTCTTCTCATACATTCTACCAATACATCGTTATTATCATCATCATCATCATCATCATCATCGTTATTATTATCATCATCGTTATTATTATCATCATCATCATCATTATGTATAATTACTTCAGTGTTACAGTATTATCATTCACTTGATACCCGTACATTTTTTTGAGAACGTATGTGAGGACAGTGCGGATCAAATAATTCGTCACCTTGCCGGACACGTTTGTTTGTAGATAGTCTTCATCGTGTCCACGATTGGCTTCTTCAAGGTCGGATCCTTCCCCTTCCGCCGCGGCCCGTACTGACACTCCATCACCACCGCACGACTCCCTGTCCACACAAACACATCACGTCGAACAACCTCGTGAATTGTCAAGCATACACTTCCCATGATAACTTTTAGGCTCGCAAGTCCTTAAAGATATCATTTATACGGTTTATGTGCTGCAATACGGTCAGCATGTCCTATCATTAAATCAGCCTGATTAAATGAATAAATATAATTACATAAATACAACTAATGTAATATGCATAATGTAACATAGATGGCATGTTCAGGGCCTCGACCCTGCTCCTGTTCTTGCCCCCGCCACCACCCTCCGCCCCACCCGCCCCTGCCCGTTCTTGCCCCCGCCACCACCCTATGCCCCACCCACCCCTGCTCCTGTTCTTGCCCCCGCCACCACCCTCTGCCCCTGCCCCCACCCTCCGCCCCACCCACCCCTGCCCCTCGTTGCCCCCGCCACCACCATCCACCCCTGCTCCTGTTCTTGCCTCTGCCCTCTGCCCCTGCCCCGCCCCTGCTCCCCACCCCTACTCTTGCCCTACTGCCCCCCCACCCCTGCTCCACGTCCAGCCCTCACCCACGCCCCCGCCCTCGGCGCCACCTACCGGCATTCAGGAAGGGCATGCCGTCGAACGGCACGTACTGCGACTTCCACATGAGTCGGCTGGAGGCGCGGGCGGGGCTCGGGGACTGCCGCGTGCCCCACATGCTGCCCGTCTGCTGCTTGTGGTAGGTGAGCAACAAGTCTAGCTCCTGCTCCGACGCGACCCAGCCACGGTACGAGTCACCGATTTTCTGCGGAAGGGGGAAGAAACGACGATGAAAACGACGTCGGGACGATAAAACGACGTTTAAAACAACGGCGGGACAATAAAACGACGATGAAAACGACGGCGGGACGGTAACATAAGGCGATATTAATGCGATAATGATAGCGATAATGGTAAACCACGATACGAGTCTCCGATTTACTGCGGAAGATGGGGGAACGACGAGGAAAGGGTTACACGTTGCAAAATTCTCGAAAAGACGATCGTCTGTGATATCTGACTTTGGAAGGAGTCGTCGATTTTATCGGGGGAAGCGATCACGGGACGATAAAACGGAAAATGATGAAGAGAAATTTTTGAGAAACGACCGTGTCGGCGACCGTGACTTGACCTCGGAGGAAACAGCTACACGTCAGCGAAAATTCCCGCAATACCTGCGATACGACCTATGACTGTTACTTGACCTTGGCAATAGTCGTCAATTTCATGGCGGGAAACGACAACGACTCGATACGATTCGCCAATTTGCCAAGGAAACGACGACAAAGAAACGACGCTAAAGGTAGCGAAATTCCCCTCGACCCAGTGCTAGCACATTTGACGCGCGCACTTCATCGTTCAAAAATCTATTTAAAAATAATAATGAAATCCTTCCCGCTCCTATGTGGCACATAGGGCGGTGCCTATCTCCGTTTCCTTAACCCGAGGCCACGCAGCAGCTTTCACAGCGTGGGGTTAGTCCACTGGTAGCACCGCGAGTTAATTCCCCCCACTCTATCTCTATTTGCTGAGTGCTAAGCAGAGAAGCAGTGTATACCATTTCTCAAGTCCGGTATGACCCGGCCGGGAGTCAAACCCCAACCTTCCGCATGCGAGGCGAGCACTCTACCATTATTAAAAATATATAATTAATATAAAATATAAATAATATATTAAAAATATTTCTGCATTCGCGCGTACCTCGCAGTCTCGCATCCTTGTTGCCCACTCCGGACTCCCCGCTGGCATCGGTTGCACCGGCAGCACCTCCTGCGGCCAGACGACCGACGACAGTAGATCCTGCCTCCCCACGACGTCACCGCCGCCGCCGACGCCCTTCTCTGTGCAAACAAGAAGCCCTGGGGGCCATTGTCAGAAACAAAATTTGCCTTAACATTCGTCTTAACATTAACCCCCCCCCCCCCGACTCATAAACAGAGTCATATCTATCATCGGTCTGTACTATAATAGTTCTGCCGCCAATTTGCCGCCATTAGCGAATGCACACTTCAAAAGTAAATTATCGTAGTTGCACTGGAAAGGACGCAGACAAACGCATGTGGTCCATTGTCAGAAACAAAATTAGGCTTAACATTCGTCTTAACATTAACCCCCGACTCGTAAACAGAAATATCTATCGTCGGTCTGTAATGTAATACTTCTGCCGACAATTTACCTCCGCTGGCGTCATCTGCTTTGCCGACGCAGGTTGCAAAGAACTGAGGCACGTCTCCTTCACCACCAGCTGGCAGCACCTGCCACTGTGCTACCTGAAATTAGGCAAGAACGGCATATCAACTCCCACAGCATTTTCTTGACGAGGTGCCTGATAATCGTCATAGAACCACGTCGATTTTATTACATTCTGCGCATTCGAATCCACGCTAATAGGAGTTCAGTCCTACTTCACAACCGCAGATTTTAATTACGAACTGGTTAGTTAAAACAGTTAAATTCAGTTAAAACCAGCGTTTGGGATCGAATCGGATTAATAATGGGTTAGGGTCAGGTATAGATCATGGTTAACAATAAGTTAGGAATAGGGTGATGATGACGTTTTATGTAGTGAGGCCCCAAAATAGGAACGAGTCGCCAGTGCCACCTACGCGTCTACCAATGTTACGCAAATTTCTGGTAGGATATTTTATCAGCATACGTTTTCATTTGAGTCGCTTGAATCTGCGAGAGCAATGATCTGTACATTCTCCGGCAGTCCAGTTCCATTGCTCGTGCTCACTCCCTGAAGAAGTCTGACTAGTGCTCCACCACTACCTGCAGACGACAGATGCAGGGTTAGAAATTAAAGTGATTACGTCACCGTAAATAGTAAAAGTATAAAAATGATGTCCACTTTTTCACAAAAATGTAAGTGATTCTTGTAATGTTATATTGTTCATGTATCGTTTTGCCGGGTGGAGAGGGACTCCGGATTCGAGGAATAAACGTGGAGGTTGAGTTTCGTATATCTGCGTCCTCTAATTTATTGGAGTAAGAGTGATGTGAGATAAAGATATCTACTCTAATTGATGTACTAAGAGAGATACAACAATTCTCTTCGTTTTTTGTGTGGTTAAATTGCTGCATTATACTTCCTATTTTACTACAAGGGTCAGTTTACAGGGTTCGAAATTAAGGGCAGCGAGCAGCAGTTTTGCTGGTCAGTTTACAGGGTTCGAAATTACTATCGTAGATGTTCGTGTGAATCATTACTGGGTGTGAGGATCGCAGCACTGCCATGGTCCGGTATAGACGTCAGACCGATGAGTGAGTCGTCGTTGTCCGGCTCCGTCTTAATGCGCTTAGAAGCCTGGTCTTCACACCCGTCCTCATCCTGGCTAACCGACTGGTCCGACTCCAGTGCCTCCATACCTATAACAATCGGCTGACGCAGTTGTACTAGTCAAGTAGTATCGACACATATGAAGCAACACTTTGCATACAGGGCTCAATTTTAACAGTCGTCCGGTCGTCCGTGACGACTGGATTTTCTCTCGGGCAACTACAAATTGCTTCTATGTCCTTACGCTGCCTGAACGATGCGCGCAACATACATACAACACATGTCCTTATTCAAAGGACGAAAACGGAATTGCGCAGCCACACACCTTGACCAGACGCCTGCGTCAGCGTCACGGTGACCGTCTCCGGGTGAGGCTGCGTGTCGGCTTCCTGTTGCCACGGCAACCTTCCCTCGTCTGCCCGCTGCTCCGCCGCCGCCGCAGCCGATGCCTCGTCGCCGCCCGTCGTTCCCGGGTACACCTCCATCGTGATCTGCGGCAGAACCAACGACGCGAATGCACTCGAATGCGGTTCAAGAAATGCAATAATAAATGCCGAAAAACGGGGAAAAGGCAAGAAGTGCAGTTCGGAAATGCAATAGGATGCAGTTTCAATCGCGCGATTGCAACTCTTGACGGGTTTGTAAAATAATACTGTGAAACTGTGTTGTTTGCGGTGCACTACTGCGCAACATGTAGAGTACATGTGGTTCATAATCGTATCTATCATATCGTTTTTTTTTATACCTCAGAATGCGATAATAAACTTTCATTATCAACTTTGGTTATACGTATAGTAATCATTGAGTTAGTTCCTGCAACTGCAGGCGACCATGACATCGTAGCGCCATCTATCGGGAGAATGCTACATCAACTACTTCAAAAAAGGCGCTCACTGGGCTGAGTATATTGCAACAGAAGGGCGTGCGTGCGTGCGTGCGTGGGCGTGTGCGTGTTTGTGTGTGTGCGTGAGATCGGTGAGTACGAACCGTCTGGGAGAGCAGCGGCAGGGTGCCGTTGCTGATGTCCTTGAGGGCTTCGTGCACGTGGTTCTGTATGTCATGCACCGTCGGGAAGTATGAAGCATTGTGCTTCTGGGGAACATCCGACGGTTTGGCAAACAACTCGTGCTCCACATACTGCCTGCAGACAACACGCGGGGTGGGAACGCTTCGTTAAATAACGTTAAAGTCATTATATAACTATATATTATTTA